GTTCAAATCTCACCGGCTCAAGGTTGACTCAGCCTTCCATCCTTCCGAGGTGGGTAAAATGAGGCCCCGGATTGTTGGGGCGGATATGCTGACACTGTAAACCGCTTAGAGAGGGCTGAAAGCCCTATGAAGCAGTATATAAGTCTAATTGCTATTGCTAACTGCTAAATCTGACCCCATTGACTTTGCTTATCGTAAGCTATCTAAGGTTACAAAAGGTGATCACGTGATTCCAATGCAACTGTCATAAATACATGCCAGTTGCTAAACACCCAAATTTTTAGCAGCTGACCATGCGCATGCTGCAATGGTCGTAAGTGTGAAAACTGGCCATAAGTCAGTGCCATTGTAAGTCAGAGCCATTGTCAGTGTACTTCAGTGTACGCCATTGTAACTTCAAACAGTCACTAAACAAATGGTTGCAAGTCAAGGACCAGCTGTACTTTTTATATTGTGTTAATTTCCCTGGAAAGGGGGTTAGGAGGTTAAAGGCATCTGCTCTGTGTTATGGGTTGGTTTGTTTCATGAGCCAAGTAGGGAACTCTTGCCATTAAAAACTGTTGTTCTCACTTCCAAACAGATTTTGCGGGATCAAGAAACTCAGGAATTGCTACTGTGTGTGGCCTTTGTGTTTGAAGTGTCTGCAAGCGAACTGGGAGCACAGCATCATATCTACCGGCTGGGCCGGGACTGAGAAATAGTTCACCATGCTCAACAAATCAATCCCACAGCCAACTAGGCCATCTTCCTCTTAGCACATCATACTAGATGGCAGAATCGATGGCTGAAAAGCTGCTGAGCCCATTCATGTCAACTTTTAAGTTTATTAACAGATAACTTTTCTCTTTTTGATGACCACAAAACCAAGCTTTAGGCTTAAACCTTTAAAAGGCTTGAATCCATTGCTCAGTAAACCATCTTAAAGGTGGGATGGTCCTTCTGGAAGAATACTCTTTTGGTCAAATCATCTCGGGCATGTTGAGGACAATAGTTAAATCTCAACTCCATGTGTATCCTTCTAAATCTCCTGGGAGAACACTGTCTCATGTCATTGCTTCTTGGGACTTAACACTCCGTTGTAAGAAGAAACGATATTTCTTAGGACTCCTGTTTTGTATGACTGTCAGGCTTTGGTGTACATTATAACTTAGTTCTCACAAACTGCTGAAGAGTGAACCCATTCCTACACTATCATGTCAGACTCTAGGGAAAGATTTATATCAGGAATGCATAACTTGATGCTTCTAATTCACAGGTCCCCCTGGATCCTTTTAAGAGTCCATCACAAACAGTAGGGTTTAATGTGAAGACCGTTATTATACAGTGGCAGTAATGATATTGTTTAATACAAGTTTTAAGTCAAATTTGAATTCTTGTCCTGTATTGAATTAATCTCCTTTGCGGAGTAGTCAACTTAAAACTACTCCAATAGCACTCAAAAGTGACTTACCACCATTCCTTGCACTTACGATATCACAGCTCCCACATGATCATGCGATCAAAATTTGGGTGTTTGGCAACCAGCATATAATTATGAGGGTTTTAACATTTGGGAGTCAAGTGATTGCCATTTGCGATCTTCCTAGCTGGTTTCCAACAAGCAAAATCAATAGGGGAAGATAGATCCACTTAAATGACAATTCACTTAACAGCCATGGCGTGCGTATGTATGTATGTATGTATGTATGTATGTATGTATGTATGTATGTATGTATGTATGATTGGATGTCACTCATTTAACAACCATCTTGCTTAGCAAAATTTTTGACTCCATTGTCTAATTTCTCCTTTGCTGCCTAGGAGTTTTAAGACTCATGTTTCCAAAGTAGAAAACAATTCACACTGTAGGAAGGTATTACCTTGCAAAACTCAGGGTTCATTTACACAGTGAGCATGAGATCATTTAGTCAGCTCTGTATCTTTGAAGTACAGGTGGGAGGCATTTTAATATTACTCATATGAGTAATTAAAGATCAGCAAGAACATTAACAATTGGAAACAGATAAAGTGGTCTTCTAAACCCTCTTTCTCTTGTCTTCTGCTACCTTAGTTTTATATCTAAGGAAGCATTAAAAAAAAAAGCCGTCCAAATTTTGGAGAATGAATGAAATCAGAATTACCACCTTGTTCTATTCCACACATAATCCCACTCTTAAATGAAACAAAAATATAAAAGTAAACTGAGCTTTGTTATATGTTCAATCTGAAGCCTTATCTGGCTAAATGTATGTTCGTGATTATCATCTTTTTGGCATTCATAGGTGCTTCTTCCTCTTTGGTAGGAAAGGGGGAGCATATACAGGTAATTCTCAACTTACAATTTTATTTAGTGACTAGTTGAAGTTACAACAGCACTGAAAAAAGTGAATTATGACCATTTTTCACATGACCGTTGTAGCATTGCCATGGTCATGTGATCAAAATTTGGGTGCTGGACAATTGGTTCATATTAGTGACAATGTCCTGGGGTCATGCAATCACCTTTTGCAACATTCTGTCAAGCCAAGTGGGGAAGCCAGATTCATTTAAGAGGTCTGTTACATCTCAGGAGGCTCCTTCATTACTCCAAACCAGCCAATTGACATTGAGTGATCAACTGGAATAAGGGACGTAGCTTAGAATTGACCAGGAGCCAAGCCTTTTATTCTGCTTACTCGCTCTTGGCTGTTGTATAAGGGATCCTATCAATAGTAAGGTACGGGTAAAGGCTCCCCTCGCACACAAGTGCTAGTCGTTCCTGACTTTAAGGAGTGGTGCTCATCTCCATTTCAAAGCCGAAGAGCCAACGCTGTCTGAAGATGTCTCCATGATCATGTGGCCAGCATGACTAAACGCCAAAGGTGCACAGAACGCTGTTACCTTCCCACCAAAGGTGATTCCTATTTTTCTACTTGCATTTTTACATGCTTTTGAACTGCTAGGTTGGCAGAAGCTGGGCCAAGTAACAGGAGCTCACTGCATTACGCAGCACTAGGGATTTGAACCACCAAACTGCCGACCTTTCTGATAGACAAGCTCAGTGTCTTAGCCACTGAGCCACTGTGTTTCTCTTATCAATAGTACATCTATTCTTTTGGAGAAATAGCTAAAAAAACCTTCCCAAATTCCACTGAAGATGTTACCTAGCCTGGCAATGAAATATTTGGAAACCATCCCACAAAGCTCGGAGAACGAACCTTCACCCTCGCTACTGATATTCGTCACCATCGCAAATGCAGGTATTCCTCAACTTATGTCCACAATTGAGCCCAAAATTTATGCTGTTAAGTGAAACATTGAGTTTTCCCCAGTTTACGACTTTTCCTGCCACATGTGTTAAGTGAATCACTGCAGTTGTTAAATTACTAACATGCTCGCTAAGTGAATCTGGCTTCCCCGCTGATTTTGCTTGTTAGAAGATGATGATCACATGACCTGGGACGCTGCAACCATCATAAAGGTGAGTCAGTTGTCAAGCATCTGAATGTAAATCATGTGATCAATGCAACGATTGCAAGTGTGAAAAATGGTCAATTAATTTTTTTCAGTGTCATTTTAATTTTGAACAGTCACTACGTGAACTGAAGTCGAGAACTACCTGTATTTAGCTAAAAGCTATTTTACATCCAAGTTCAAAGAATCAAACACAACCATTTATGGATAATTTTTATTTACAAAATAGAAATTTTTAAAGGACTAACTCTGCAAAGAACAAACCACAGTAAACTGAGAAAGAGGGTGAAATTGTATAGGTACCTCATTCCACCTGCATCCCCTTCCTCAAAATATTTCCCCTTTTACATTTCTGTTTTAAACATCCAAGCTGAATATATAAATACCACAAAAAAGCAGAGAAAAAAGAGAGGGGGGCGGGTTTTCTCATCCGCCCTGAACAGAGTTATAAGTGTGCAAGGCGCAACAGAAAACCATGTCAAATTTTTGAGGTTCAAAGATAAGGTGTCCTCTTTGTTTACACCTGCTGGAGCAGTAAAGAGGCATTATTCAAAAATCCACAGAAGTGTTAATGGCTATGTCAATGCATTCCCAATGCAAAAGGACCTCTTCATTCCATACCAGGTATATCCTGCCTCTTAACTAGCTAATGGAGTCATAAGCTCCAAAGGTTTGTAGATTCAGTGCTGTGGAACTTGTCATTCAACATTCCTTACAATTATCTGTAAAGGACAATTAGGAGCCACCAGCGAAAAATATCAGATGGATTTCAGGTTCTTCATGCCATTTATCCAACAAGAGAAAAAGGCTGGTGATGGAACAGTTTAGTCCAAACATAAGGGAGAAATGCAGCCTTCTTAACTGAGCTGTTTTCAACATAGATTAATTCAACCAAATCAAGAAAAGATTGTGGTATAAAAGACTACATGCCAAGAGTAGCATAGAACATACAACTTTGAGGTTTGGTTATATCCTACATATGGTTGAGAATGCTTGAAGTCTGGATGAATAGATCATACCTCAATGGTAGCAGGAATGATTAACAAAAAAAACCTCTTGGTCCAATCAGGTGGGTCAACACCACTGTTAATTCACAGCCTGAATTGTTGACTAAATAAGATGCTGCAAATTTCACTTTTTTTTAAAAAAAAGTAACTTTTTAACTTTAGGTCTAAAATAGCTATATCAAAGGATTTGGGGGAGTGTTGAATGTATATATGTATATGCTTTTAAAAAATACTTTTTCTCAGGTTGAATTGCAATAATTGATTTATGGTTAAATAGTTCTTATCATGCAAAAATACATCAGGGCTTGGCTGTTAAAATCTGTGCATTCCAGGACAATGCAATATAAAAAGAACTCATATCTTATTGTAGGGATTTACTGAAAAGCCAAAAGCCGATACGGCTATAATTTTTGGAGGACATCTTTAGCTAAGCGAAGGTAAAAACCTGTTTCATAGTACTCTGTTTTCTTATTGGTTGCTCTGATTCTTGAAAGTTTCATCTCAGTTTCCAAGACTGGATTATTTAGGACAAGAAAGTTAGGTAGTAAACTTGCTGATCACAACCACAGCCCTAAAATATACTGTTTTAAAACCCTGGTTTAATGTCTAAATAAGACACAATACCATTCTTCAATGCCGTTTCCCCAAAAAGTTTCTTTGCCTAGGAATAACGAGCAAGCTTGTCATAGTTGGGGCCAATGGTTCTACACAGAAACATCGATACCATCATGAGGAAGAGCTGTGGGGGGAAAAAGAGATTTTAGTAAAAGAAACAGCAATCAGATCTATCATAACAAAAGCTGAACTCCATGTTTGGGATAGTTTGTAAAGCAACTTAAAAGTAAGATTATTAAGATTTTTTATTTGATCCCATGTCCTTTAAATGTGTTAACCTTCAACCTCCAGTATTTCTGCTTGAGATTCCTGGCTGTTGGGAATCCAGTGCACTGGGAAGGTTGGATACTGGGATGGCCCCTTCACGACTTGTGGATTTCAATTCCCAGAATTCTTGAGCCAGCCAGAAGCTGAAGCCCACAGGTTGTAAAGAAGCCATAGTTGCCCCATTCCTCGTCTACACTTAAGCCCTGAAATTACAACTCATGAGTATAGTAGCTATCTCTGAATCCTTATTGAACCCAACCAGGTGTCTTTCATGTGTGCTGAACTACAATCCCCATTATCCTTGAAGCCCTTTCCCTTATCTAGGTGCTCTCCAGACACCATTGCTCCATAAGCAATGATCAGGCTGACTGTGGAATTCTTGAAATATAATCCATCATAGGGAAAGTAAATACACAAGATGGAAAGAAGCTACGAAGATCAGAATGGCTCATAGAATATATCCTGCTGAAAGGAAGGAAGATGTCTATCACTACTTAAAAAGGGGCCTTTGCCCTGTAGCATCTTACGGGTTTGTTTGTTTTTGTTCTCTGCTACATTTGCCCTCTCCAATTCTCCTTATTGGTGCTCATGCAGCCCTTGCAGTTCTTGGGGCCCCTGACATGATATTTGGGCTCCAGGGGAGCCAGCAAAGCTCTTTTTGCAACAGCACAAGATGCAAGCAAGACATTAACCTGCAAAGGAGGAACGAGGTGGGGAAAACGAAGCATGGTGGACATTGACACATTTCTACTAAAAGAACGTTCAGGCCTGACAATGCCCTGGAATGAATTACCTTGCCAAAACTCCAGGTAGCTGTCCCTGTGCAGCAGGTATGTGAAACAATTTAAGTGATTATAAAAATGAAAAGAGGTTTGCAATAGTGGCGAATATCTGGAGTTCAGGGGTAGGATGAGGGTGAAGATTCGTTCTCCAAACTTGTGGGAGAACAATCTTAAGCTCTACCCACACTGACACCAAACGGCATCAGTTCAATTGGAGCAACACACAAACCGGCCATGCTACTACCCACCACGCTTATGAGTTCTTCGAAGCCTGACACTCCACAAGCAATTTCATCAACAGACACATGGACCTATAACCAGCCTACAAAATCCAAATCAACCGCACAGCCAACCAGAGACAGCATCGACCCTCAACCAACCCATGCAAGCCTCCCCACCAGTTCACCTCCCAATGACATTGACCTGAGGTAACCTCCCCATCACAAGGCACGTCAAAAGTCTCTCACTGATGACTCAAACCTGACCCACACAAGACCCTCACTTGACACACCCATACCTGACCCATTACAAGACTACAGAAAGCTCTTATAAACAGAAGAACACTGACAATGACATCTCCTAAACTCTGCTGATGTTACCTAGTCTTTTAATGAAACATTCAGAAACCAACCCACAAACTCGGAGAACGAACTTCCACTCTCATGGAAAAAGGTTTCAGAAACGAGGGAGAATTAAGGACAAACATAACCCATGCATCATGCATCACTTTGGGAAGCAAATCAACACTTCACCTCTTCAGACATGCCCAGACCTATGCCAATAACAGGGTGTTGTAGATGTTGAGAAACACAGCTGGCATACGCATATACCCAGCAGTCAGCATATCAAAAGCACAGTGGGAAAGTTTTAGGTGTTTTGGCTGCAACCACAGGCAGGGCTTAGCCCAAAAGGCCCAAAGATGACAAGCTGTTCTTGAATGGCATTCAATGTGCAGACAGGAAGAATAATGAAAGAAGACGAATTCGTTATGGGGACATTGAAAAAGAACTGTAAGCATCTGATTTCTAAATTTAGATCCGCATCAGAAAGTAGATTAAATTCATGGGTTCTTCAAATCAATGTAATTCTCATTGGGGAATACCAGAGAAACAACAGATTCCCAGAAAGATAATTGCCACACATGCTCACAGAGAAAGCTATTTGTTGCCTCCTCTAGTTGTGTTGGACTACATTGGCTATCATCTTCAGCAACCATTCACTGTACTGGCTTGGGGTGATGGGAATTGTTATCTCTTGTTTATGCGAGAGTTCAAGGCAGCTCCGCACATGGTCTCCTTTTATGTTAATGAACAACCATTCTCTAAGTTTGGGCTGAAAGAGTGAATGTCCCAACATTAGTCAATAAACTACACAGTTGGAATAAACTTAATAGCAATAGCACTTATATACTGCTTCACGGTGCTTTACAGCCCTCTCTCAGCTATTTACAGAGTCCGCATATTCCTCCCACAATGTGGGACCTCATTTTACCGACCTCGGAAGCATGGAAGGCTGAGTCAACCTTGAGCAGGTCAAGATTGAACCCTGGCAGTCAGCAGAATGAGCCTGCAATACTACATGCTAACCACTGCGCCATCACGGCTCCCATGTCTTTCTGGCATAAATCATACTTCTAAAATTACTACACTATTCTGCATTATAATCCAGCAAATGTGAAGAACGCTAGATGGAAGAAACTGCCTAGATCAGGGGTGTCAAACTGGATTTCTTTGCGGGCCGGCTCAGCATTGTGGTTCTCCTCTGTGGGCCGGCTGGGTTGGGGGTGGGGGAAGACGGGGCGGATGCCTCCTGCAGCACCCTGCCAGTCAAAACAGGGCATGGGTGGGTGGGGTGCAGAAACCCCCCGCACACACACACACACACACACACACACAGTTTTGGCTGCTAGAGGCACCGTGGGCTGGTCCTTTGCTATTTCCAGTCTGGCCCCGCGGGCCAGTTTTAAGCACTTCACTGGCCGGATCTTGAGTGTGACACCCCTGGCCTAGGTGAATTCACAAGGATTCATATGGGATTTCTCATAGCCCAAGTCTTGCTCAGCATCTTCCTTGCAAATACACAAGCATGGCACCATGCCATTTGGGGATGACAGCAGCTTCCACCCAAGAAGAATCAGTATTCCCTGCACTGCACTCATGAATTACACAGGTCACAGGACATGCACAGAGAAAAAAATAACACATCCTTCCCAACACAGGAAGACACAAATAACAAGGCATGGCAGAAAGCTGGAAACATCTATGCACTCCCTTTAGCCACCTGTTATGGATCTCCTGGGAGCCACCACTATGCAGGTCCTTGTGTTCTAATGCAGTGACCAGCAACATGCACAGCAGCTGCAGTAACTACAAGAAAGATCCAGGGTGGAGAAATAAAGACCTTGATTCTTTATCATGTAATGCAGTGGTCTCCAACCTTGGCAACTTTAAGACCTGTGGACTTCAACTCCCAGAGTTCCTCAGCCAGCAAAGCTGGCTGAGGAACTCTGGGAGTTGAAGTCCACAGGTCTTAAAGTTGCCAAGGTTGGAGACCACTGATGTAATGCACTCACAATCAAGCACATATAAACATTTCTGGTGTCTACCAGCAATGCCTACTGCTCCAAATGAGTAGACTGGTAGGGACAACACTGGGAAATACATGATTTGAATGATGGCACTGACAGCAGAAATATAATGGCATTTTAACTGGGCAGAAGGGGTCATTCCATCATCAAACAGCTAACTACCCAAGGAGCTATGACCATTGGACTCTTTAAAAAAAATTAGATCTCAAATACTCAAAACTGAATGCCATGAAACAGCATTAAATACTTAAAATATTTAGCTTAATATTCCAGAGGATGAAGTGGCTGTATGTGAGAAACTGTAAGTGAGTTTCTGCCTACAAGACCCAATTGTACTTCAGTGCTACATGCTTAGATATAAATTGGGGTTGATGGGGAAAAAAATATTGTGACTATTACAAAATGTCTTTGGACAGTCCTGAAAATAAACACCACACAAAGTGTCTAAACTGAATATAAACTGAATGATTTTGTAATGATTTGGGGAATGTCTCAATATTTGCCCCTCCCTGTATTATTTCAGCACCACTGGTAGAAATGTAGCTGTACCCAGTTGTCATTCAGGAGCGCTTACCTCTAGGAGAGCAATCCCAAGGCAGATCCCTACAATGCTGATGATGTTATTGTTCAGCCAGGTTTGGACACTCTCCCTGCAGCCCTGAAAATGGACAAAGGTAGATTAAAAAGGAGCATCACATGGAATTCCAAGTCAGATCAACTACAAGGCAATCTCACTCACTCCCACATTGCAAGCCCATCAGATACAGCCAAAACACAAACCAAAAAAAATATCAGAAAAGAACCTTCCACCTTTGTTTTCTGCACTCTGGCCTTAACCTTGCCTTTTCTAGTCCTTTCCTTTTAAGAACCTGGCTTACTAACGTTCGGAAACACCCATGGCACCGTCCTTCTCCATATCAGGGAGTCCCACAAATTACTTTTGCAATGCATGAATACCTATTTCCTTTCATCACTCTCATACCGACTGGTGGCTCCTTTAAAGGACTCAGCAGAAAGAGGCTGAAATCAATACTTCTATGGCTAAGGGCCTACATATTTACAAGACCAACTTGCCCGAGTAGCTTGTGTCCATGCAAACAGATTGAAGGGAGATTCACTCCAAGCCCTTTCCCTTAAGGAGGTTGTTTACAAAGCCCAAGATGCAGACTGCTCTCTGTTGCAGCCATTCGTCTTTGGAATAACCTAACCTGGAGATCTGATTAGCCCCATCCTGTTATGGGTTAGGGGAGCTGTAAGACTTGGCTGTCATTATAAAGTAAAACACCCGGCTCCCTATTCTGGGCTGTGTCTAGGTACTTTGTCCTCAGTAGTCTTGTTTCTTTTCAAATAACATTATAATCACGTGCAACTGCCTCCCATTTTATTATACCATTTTTGTAAACAAGCATGCTACTCAGAAATAAATACTTCCATCAAAAGGATACACCAATTGTGGCCCCCAAAATAGTGTGTACCGTATATACTCGAGTATAGGCCGACCCGAATATAAGCCGAGGCACCTAATTTTACCACAAAAAACTGGAAAAGTTATTGACTCGAGTATAAGCCTAGGGTGGGAAATGCAGCAGCTACCGGTAAATTTCAAAAATAAAAATAGATACCAATAATGTTTTTGAATATTTATTTCAAAGAAAAACAGTAAACTAGCGGTGTATTCAATGAAATACTTCACTCACCTCATGATGCTGATGTCCCGCTGTGATGATGATGTCCCGTGCAGCCGCGGGAGCGATGTCCCGCCTCCTATGACACACGGCACAGTGATTCCTATCATTGGATCACTGTACCAGAGGAGGTGGGACATCGCTATGTGGCTGCTTGCCATAACAAGGAGGAGGTGGGACATCGTTGCAGAGCGGCAGGAGGGGGAGGAAGGGGAATCGTAAGACAGCCCTGCATTACATTAGAACGTGAGGAGGGGGGATGGTGCGGTGCGCGCTGCGCGGCAAACTGACACAGAGGGAGGGGAAACTCACAGGGGCACTGGGCCATTCACGAGTGTCACCCAGCGGCATGGCCCCGCCCCTTTTTCTCCTCCATTTCGGGCAAATTTTTCACTGACTCGAGTATAAGCCGAGGCGGCTTTTTTCAGCCCAAAAAGTGGGCTGAAAAACTAGGCTTATACTCGAGTATATACAGTAATCCTCTTCCGTACAACTGCTTTTTGCAAATAGGTTAATGGCTGGAAAAAGTAAGACTAGGCGCAACGGTACAGTGATGTGGAAATCAATGCATGAAAAAAAGTGGATAAGACGAGGGTGGGGTGGGTGGAATCTTTTTTTCCTTCTGATTGTTCCCATTTTCTGCTACAATCAAATCAATCACCTGCCTAGAAAGTGCCAAATTGGGCAAAAGCTGTTACGATGTTCCAGAAATTACTAAAAACCTGGATGTTCACCAGGGCTTTGGGAGAGGACGGTTGGAAGCATCTTTTAATTTAGCTTGGTTTTGTTCTTCTCGCTTGCCATGTTTTCAAGGTTTATTTGTAAACAAGTCAGTTGACAAGGAGTTTGGCAATCTCAAAATTGGAATCAACCAATCAATATGCACCCCGCTTTTTTGGTTGAGGGCCCTACAAGATCTATTAAAATTTCCCTCCAATTGGCATCGTCTAAATGCATTGGAATAAGTTGTTCCATATATTTCCTTCCTATGTATTTCTTTACATAGATTTACACAATTGTCTCTTAAGTCAGTGGCCCCAACCTTTTGGGCACCAGGGAGAGTTTTTGTCCGTGTACCTGACAGTGTAGTTTCGCATGCTACCTAAATCCCATGGATGGAGCTTCGCTTGTTTGCATGGCCAGGTTTCTGGCATGCTATGACCCAGTGCTGGTCCATGGACCAGGCATTGGGGACCCCTGTCTTAAGTCATCTCTTTCAGAAATTAAATCAGAGAATGAATATGGCAAGCTTAATATTTATGCACAAATTCTCCCTATTCCCAATGAGCAGGAAGTGGCAATCTTTTCAGAGACTGTGTGTTCTGACTTAGGGTTCTGAAGAGCATGAAGCAAACTCCTTGTCCTGACAAAACTCCTTTTATTAATTTAATGTGGATTCTGCTCATTCACACCCAGCAAAGTCCTTCAAGGGAGAATTTTCAGTTCCAGACTTTATCTGGCTTGGAGCACGAACTAATTGTCTCCTGCAAACTCCATTCCCCTTTCGCTGCTCTTGTATTTTCTCTGGGAGGGGCCATTCATCATCCACTTGTGGTCTTACCCCAAGTCGACCCCTGTTCTTTAGCTGATCCCTTTGTCTGGCAACGCTGCACATGCGCACACTGGGAATAGGCTCCAGCTGTTCGTCTGCCTCACTGATGTCTGCCTCTGAAGGCAGCTGATAACTGGCATACGGCCCTGATCCTCTTTCTGCCTCCGACACAGAGCCCTCATCAGAGCCTTCCCCAGACTCCAGGACTGGCCCATATTCCTCTCCAACCTCTTCACTGTCTGAATCTATTGCCAGCTCTGCTGGCCACTAGCAGGTCATAACACTGTCATACAATCACTTGTATACCTCCCTGCCCTCTTTTAAACAATTGCCTAAACATTTTGGATACAAATATTGATGGACATAGAGAATGCTGACATTTCATAACATTTTTCCCTGCAGGATTTGGGTCAAGTTTTTAAAAATTGCTTTATGACAAGAGAGAAATACAACTATCACCACAAGTACCCAAAGGAGCTGGACTGCACTGTGCACACCTCCAACTGAAGAACAATGTGTGGGCTACTCACTCTATTGTTGATTTGCAACGGTGCCTCTGCTCGGCAAAAGAGGGCCGGCTTGTCAGTTGTTCCGTTGTTGGCTGAGTGCAGAGCAGAGGTGTTTTGACAGGAGCAGGGGTACTCTTTATTTGAGGCATTTCTGACTCTGCTGTTTTCCATCCAGTCCGCCCAGCCTTTCCAGCCGCAGCATTGGAACTAAGGACAAGGGAGGGAATTGAAGACAGTGAGAAAGAGAAGCACAGTCATTGCAACAGAAAAAATACTACTAGAGGAAAAGATCCAGCACAAGGCTGGCCCAACTTTGCTGAAACTAAGCAGATATGAGCATGGACCATGCCTAAACGGGAGACTCCATAAAGTCTCTTATCCAATGTTTCCCAACCTTGACAACTTGAAGTTGTATCGAGTTCAACTCCCAGAACTCTTAAATGATGTCGCTCACTGGCCATTCTGGGAATTGAAGTCCACAGATCTTCAAGTTGCCAAGTTTGAGAAAAACTGCTCTCATCTATGGCAACTTGAGTTCCAATATGGAGGAAAAGCAGGATGTTTATCAATAGCACTTAGACTTATCTATCACTTCACAGTGCTCCAAAGCCCTTTCTAAGCAGTGTACAGAGTCAGCATATTGGCCCCAACAGTCTGAGTCCTCGGTTTAACGACCTCAGAAATCTGTAAGCTGACTCAACCTTCAATTGGTGACGAGTGAACTCCTGGCAAGTGAGCTGAATTAGCCAGCAATACTACATTTTAACCATTGTGCCACCATGGCATCGCATATATCTGATGGAAGAACCACGTTCATTGTTAGGTCAACTCTATGGCTCTACTCATCCAACATGACTTTGATTGCATCAATCAACCAGACTTTTTAGAATTCATATATCATGACTTTCAAGCCATAAGGCTGGGCCCAACCCAATAAACTAGGCTGTGATGGTGAACCTATGGCAATCGTGCCCGAAGTGGCACATGGAGCCATGTCACCTGGCACACACATTGCCCGTTCTTCTTCCAGGTTTCTGGCGTGCATGTGCACATGAAGATCAGCTGGTCTTCGCGCATGCGGCAGTGCTGGAAACTGAAAGAGATGGTCTTCCATTTTCCGGTGTGAGCATGTGCGCCTGCCATCTGATTGCCGCATGACCATGCACACCAGTAACCAGAAGACTAGCTGACTGTTGCACATGCGCACGCCAAAAACTGGAAGTTCATTTCCCGGTGCGCACATGCCCAATTGACACTTCTCTTCCAGGGCCCACCCCTAATGAACATGTGCGTGCATGCACACTCCCTTTTCAGCACTCAGTGCCAAAAGGATTCGCCATCACTGCACTAGGCCAAATCTAAACAAACCACCTTATGGCTTAGCACATTATATGAGCCTCTCTGTGAATGGCCAAACATGTCCCCATTGGAATCACATCAATGGAACTAAAGGATGTAAAACTAACAGTCCTTACCTGCTCCTGCACAAAATCCCAGCTGTCACCATCAGAAAGGGATGTATTTGTTCCATAGCCTGCAATGATGGTTTTTACACGTCCAGCTACAGTTGAAGTGATCTGCATGTGGGAGGAACAGCAATCTTAAGTAGTGAATGTAGTTTCCCCATTGACTTTGTTTCTTAGAAGGTTGCAAAAGGGAATCACGAGACCCCCCAGGACCCTATAACCATCAAAAATAAGTGTCAATTGCCAAGTGTCTGAATTTTGATCATATAACCATGGGGACACGGTGAGTCAGTGGCTAAGATGCTGAGCTTGTCGATCAGAAGGTCAGCGGTTCGAATCCCTAGCACTGCGTAATGGAGTGAGCTCCCATTACTCGTCCCACCTTCTGCCAACCTAGCAATTCGAAAGCACGTAAAAAATGCAAGTTGATGGGAAGGTAACAGTATTCTGTGCGCTTTTGGGGTGTTATCATTCCGGCCACATGGCCACGGAGTTGTCTTCGGACAATGCTGGCTCTTTGGCTTTGAAACGGAGATGACCACCGCCCCCTAGAGTGGGGAACAACTGGCACATATGTGTGAGGGGAACCTTTACCCTTAACCATGGGGATACTGCAATGGTTGTGTGAAAAACAGTCATAAGTTGCTTTGTTCAGTGCCGTTGTAACTTTGAGTTGCCATTGTAACTTTGAGTAACTTTGAATAAATGAACTGCAATAAGTTGAGGACTACCTGTATTTGGAGTAGAACGGGAGATTCTGCCCAAACTTATTCTCAGTGGACAAAAGTTCAAACAGGATGCAAGGTTTATTTTCTTTTTCCAGAGAATCCAGCAGTGAGGAACAGTGATGACAGCAACTGAAAAGCCAAATATTTCCCATCTTCTCAACAGGCCAAACAGAGTTGCTGATCACCCGGCTCTTCCAGAAAGCGAGCTAGTTCTCTTACTTGTTGCATCATACAAGACTTTAAGCCAAAGCCTTAATTACTTTTGTTAAGGCAGCAAACCAATTATTAAAGGCATCAATGTACAGTATGCATGCCTTTCACAAGCCTGCAAATAGAACGGGAGAGGGATGCTGCTAACTTTGGCTAGATTACAGCATAAGCTGGAACAAAAAGGGTGGCAAAACCTTTTGTGATTGGCAAAAAAAAAGCATTAATAATTTACAAACATCACACTTACTCCTGGACAAGGTCTACATATCTTTTCTCTCATTCTTTTATATGCCCTGCCGTATGTCTTCTCTTATGCCCCCCACCCCCATCTGTGGGTTGCAAGCATTAAAGACACAGAAATTATGGGTCTCTCTTTCATAGGCCCTAGTCATTTCTCCCCTACAATGGGTTTTTTTTTTGGGGGGGGGTGGTTCTGGGAAGAGGAAGAGAGAAAGGAAAAAAAAAAAAGAGAAAGGGTTTGGTCTAGATCACGGGTGTCAAACTCGTGGGGTTATGTTGCTGTCACATGATGTTTCACATTTCCCCCCCCTTTGCAGAATTGGGGTGGCCGTGGCCTGCACATGACCCATTCGGCCTGCAGACTGCCAGTTTGACACCCCTGGTCTAGATGGTGCAAGATGTTGGAACACAATATTCTGTTTCACATCACATTGCAGGACTACATCATTCCCCCCCCCCCATAGACATTCATGGTAAACAAGGATATGTAAGTAGGGAGCTAGTCTAGAAATGCCTTTCTCTCCAGATGCTTTTTTTTACAAATCTCTTCTGCCCAGCAAACCGTTTGTTTGCTTGTGACTTAACATCTAGATCAGTGTTTCTCAACCTTGGCAACTTGAAGATGTCTGGAATGCAAATGCTGGCTGGGGAATTCTGGGACTTGAAGTCCAGACATCTTCAAGTTGCCAAGGTTGAGAAACACTGATCTAGAGCAACAGTCCCCAACCTTTATGGGTTTACGGACCAGTGATTGCAGTTGGGCGTGGGGGAAGAGAGGATGGTTCTGCATACACACTCACTGCTTGCACGGCCCAGTTCTGATTAGGCCGTGGACTGAGGATTGGGGACTCCTGATCTAGAGGACATTAGATTCCCTTGCACATGTGGGACCATTGTTTATGCCAAGAACCATTTAGAAATCAAGAGGCATGATCCTGGGGAAGGCTGTTATCCAATATGTAAACCAGATCAAAGACTACCAATAACATTAAAAAAAAAAGGAATGAGAAGCAGGGGGGAAAGTTATCCAGGCAGAAAGAGGCATTGTTGAAATAGGATTATGGTGATCATGTTATGAGAAATCCTCTGATTTATTACACTGCTTACCGTGTTGCTGTGTGTTTGTATCAAGATTGCAATGATGACTTGACTAACAAACAGGAGCAGTAGGAAGGCAAAGTACTATTGATGGAGACAGAAAAGGCCAGCAAAATCAGTCAACATCACCATGGCATAAATTATTCATTCATTCATTCATTCATTCATTCTTATTAGCCATTCATTATATCATACTATTAGCCAATCACATAAACATTTCTTCAAGATTCTTACAAACAAGCATGCTAAATTTATTTTTAATCTGCATTCTTGCCTATACTCAATAAATATTATTAAAATACAGTCACATGCTATACCAGACCTCCAAGTAATCAATATTTAAAAAATCTACCGGTCATCATTAAAAATTGAGAGCCACTGCCATAAACTTTGCAAAGGCACCTGCGCTAAATCACACAATACCAAATATATAACTACAAAGGAAAAATATGACAGAGCGTAATTACCTTTCTGTATTTCCCCCTACAAAGGCCTCTTGGGAAATTACCACATCATGCACTATACAGGTTTCTCCTTCCTTTTTTCTGTTGTGTTATTAAAAAGTACACAACCGGATTTCTACCTCTGTCTTGAGGGATCACCTGAGCCATTAATTAACTAGAATGCTGTGCCATCATTTTATCAGTATAATATATCAGTGCTATATTAAATATGAAATATCCATATACAGTATTCATGAATTCTCCCTGTAATTGAATGACATATAAATCTCATCACAATTATACCTACCCTCCAAAAAAAGTATTTCAGCCTTTTCAGTTGTTTTATACAATAATGTTTCCAACAGAATAGAATTTTTGTAGCTCAGGATTGAAAGTAGGGTCCTTGTTGCTCTCTGATCTTGGCAGTTTTCTTGCAGACCTTTCAATACCAAACTAGGTAACATCATCAATATTAATCATTGCTGAAGTTACTTATTTTGTCAATGAAATATTTGTAAGAAAACAACCATGCTCAGAGAGCACTAAGGACCCCTCAGTAATGATTCTTCGCAATCGTTCAATTGCATAGAATTCTTCACTTTCATACTGCTACACTGTCTTAGTCTTTAGATGCAGTTTCCATCATCCCAAAACTTCAGAAGGTTTTTGTCTTCCTGAAAAGATCAACAAAATCTTTCAAAATCTGTTCCATTTGGTAAAGTGTTTACAATGCATTTTTTAAGGTTTAATTTAAGGGGAGCATCATTTGGGATACAGGAGCAACATGATGTTCCCACCTGATTGAACCCAATAAATGTTATTTCCCTTTCTCAGAGAGTACCAGAATCGAGGCCCACTGCTTATACGCGGCTACTTACAAGTCCTAGCATACACTTGACTTCCTTGAGAGAGCCCAAGCATCCAAGAAATCCCAAAAACATTGTTAGGATGCCCACACCAGAGAAAACGTACGACCATATCTTGAGAGCGTAATATGAGGACCCTGTGAAGAAAGGAAGAAACAGATCAGAACAATCAAGAACTGAAATGATACAAATGATAGAAAAAAAATCTGTAATAATAATAAGCAGCCTCTCTTCTTTTCTTAGGGATGCGGTGGCTCAGTGGCTAAGATGCTGAAAGGTTGGCAGTTCGGCGATTCGAATCCCTAGCGCCGCGTAACTGAACAAGCTCCCGTTATTTGTCCCAGTTTCTGCCAACCTAGCAGTTTGAAAGCATGTAAAAATGCAAGTAGAAAAATAGGAACCACCTTTGGTGGGAAGGTACCACTGTTCTGTGTGCCTTCAGCATTTAATCATGCTGGCCACATGATCACGGAGACATCTTCGGACAGCGCAGGCTCTTTGTCTTAGAAACGGAGATGAGCACCGTCCCCTAGAGTCGGGAACGACTAGCACATATATGTGTGAGGGGAACCTTTACCGTTATTCTTTTCTTATTCCTCAACTGACAGAAATGTTTGGAAGAACCAAGCCTGCTTCACTGGCCTATGTACAAAGAAGTATCAGCCTTTTGAAAGAGAGCTAATTACAACCATTCATTTAGTAACCATTCAACCTCTAAATGGCATTGAAAATATGATTTAAAACTGATCCTTGTACTTACAACTGCTGCAGTGTCGCAACAGCCATGTGATTGTAATTCAGGTGCTGGGCAACCGGCATGTATTCACAACTGTTGCACCATCCTGCCACTTATGAAAAGCAATGTCAATTGGGAAGCTGGCCGGGACGGTCAGATCTCACTTAACAAACATGATAGTTAATAGAAAAAGACTTGGAAAAATTTGTTGGAACTTTGATGTTGATATACTGTATGTTGACAACAGCAAGACTACTTTAGGCACAGAAATGGAAGGGCACTTTGATCCCCACAACGGATGAAAAATCGATGGGAGTTAACAGGAACGGCTAAATTGACTGCTTTCATTAAAGAAAAAAATCACAATTACTTTTGTTTCTAGTTGGAAACTGCTTCTGGACTCTGAGCTTGAGGTGGGAGAAAATAAAATTCTGATTTTGGATTTTACCAATTAGATAGATTTGTTGTTATAGAAATGATTGGCTTATACTATTACCATATGTAAAAGTAAAAAGTTGAGGTTTGACGCTATTAACTTATTTTACTGCACCAAAGGGAGTTAGAAATCAACACCTTTTCTTTCTTCTTCCCCCTTTCCCATCTCTTTTCCCTTTCCTTCTCCCTCCCCTATTTTCCGAACATTTTCCTTTGAGTTTTTGTATTTTGTATTATAAACTAATACAAAGAAACAAGGATGATAGTTGTCTTAATGATGATGGCAAAAAAGGTTGTAAAGGTGTGGTCACATGACTTAACAATGAATTTTTCCAATTATGATCCTAAGTTCTCTACAGTATTTAGAAAAGGAAGCCCCTCTCCGAGGGAGATAGACAGTTAAGAAATATGAAATATAAATAAGTAAATAAAGGTGAAGGAATTCACAATGCAATGTTATTGGGAAGTAAAGGTGTGGCCTTTATGAAAACCTGTTTTCAACTTCCCCTTAGTTCAAGGCTCTCGTAGAGTCTGGATACTGTACTTAGTACAGTACTAAGTGGAAGAACAGATTTGCTGGGTGATAAAGTAAAGGTTCCCCGCGCACATATGTGCTAGTTGTTCCCAACTCTAGGGGGCGGTGCTCATCTCCATCTCAAAGCCAAAGAGCCAGCGCTATCTGAAGATGTCTCCATGGTCATGTGGCCGGTATGACAAAACGCACGGAGCGCTGTTACCTTCCCTCTAAAGTGGTCACTATTTTTCTACTTGCATTTTTACATGCTTTTGAACTGCTAGATTGGCAGAAGCTGGGACAAGTAACGGGAACTCACTCTGTTACACGGCACTATGGATTCGAACTGCCAAACTGCTGACCTTTCTGATTGACAAACTCAGTGTTTTAACCACTGAGCCATCATGTCCCCTCTTGCTGGGTGATACATTGTGCAAAACCACGTTTATTTTCTTTAATTTTGGTTTACCCCTATGCATGAATGTAGCCATTATACGTAGTTTTTAAATCATGCTTACATAGTTCCTATTATGTGAAAACTAGGCTATTGTGGTTTGCATAATTTTTAAAAATGGATAGATGCCCTAAGTGCAAAAAGGTTTGGAAACACTGGTTCAGCACAAGGTTCAAATTCAATTATGTAAAGTTGGAATGAGCCTCTGCAACTTACCAAGTGTAGAAGCAAAATTATTTTGATCAAAAAGTATCCATAAGCCAAAGCTGAAGACCAGACTTCCAAGAATCTGAAGAAAAGGAAAATAGATTTTTGATTTCATTTTTATTTTTAAAGTATATATCTCTGTACTAGCCATTTTTTTCCTCTTTTCCCATCCTGCATAAGCACAGCTTCATAACTAGCTGCAAATAATAATTCTCTAACCGGCTATCCAACTGGCTCTCAGCCACAGTACTCACAAAAAAGAAAACGTTGAAGAGGAAGAGGAAGTATTTTGTAACACTGAGGCATCCTTTGTGAGACATTATCTTCTTCCTGTTGGAAGGGAAAAAAACATGGTGTTTTTTTTATTCTACTTCTGCCATTCCCTTTCTAGGCCCCACCTACATCAATATAGGTGATATCCAGACCATCCTCTGAGGGACTTTTTAAAAGAAAAAGGAACGATTCTAAAAATGGGAGCCTCGTGCTTTATAGATAGTCCTTGACTTATGACCACAATTGAGCCTAAAATGTATGTTGCTAGGTGAAACGTTAAATGAATTTTGCCTTATTTTACGATCTTTCTTGTCATACTTAAGTGAATCACTGCAATCTGTTAGGTGAATCTTGTGTTTGCTTGTCAGTACCCTGTTTCCCTGAAAATAAGACCTCCCTGGATAATAAGCCCAATTGGACTTTTGAGCACATGTGCTAAAATAAGCCCTCCCCCCAAAAATAAACCCTCCCTGAAAATATTGCAACAAAGCAGCAGTCATGAGGTGACATGCTCGCTGCCTCTTCCACCTCAAAATTAATAAGACTTCCCCAAAAATAAGGCCAAGTGCTTATTTCAGGGGTCAAAAGAAAATTAAAGCCTGTCTTATTGTTGGGAAAATATGATAGGTCACAAGAGGTGATAACCTTAGGACACTGCAGCCATCATAAATAGGAGTCAGTTGCCAAATTTTGGCAATTTTGATCATATCACCATGAAGATGCTGCAAGAGTCGTAAGTGTGAAAAACAGTCAGAAGTCACTTTTTTCAGTGGCATTGTAACTTTGAATGGTCACTAAATGAACTGTTATAAGTAAAGGACTACCTATATTGTGACCTCAAAATTTGCAGGGTGAGGTCACAGCAATGGCCCACTTGTTTCCAGAAAACTAGAAACTATTCCAGAAATCATTTGAAAAAGGTAAGAAAACATTATTCACTGACAAGGATGACACGGTTTGTTGATAATAACAATGACAGTTGCCAGCTGTTTCCAAATGATTAACAGGCCCCACCCTTAAGTTAAATTTTTGAAGTTTTTTTAAGGAGACATGGCAGCTGTATCTCTGAATACAGCTTAAGGTTCAGCAATGACAGAACATGTCTGTACATGAATGTTTTTCAAATTTGGCAACTTTAACCTGTCTGGACTTAACCCTAACCCTAACTCAACGATACAAAATCTTAAAATTGCCAGATTTAAGAAATACTGTGGTATATCTAATTGCTACTGAAGAGAATATATCGTTTTTCTTTCTTCCGATCATTCCAGTATCTAGATGGTCAGGAGCATCTACAGAGTTGGTCAATACCAGCCAAGAAGATAATAGCAACTGATCCAAACCCACCCCTTTTTTATATACATTGTACATGTGATAGACATTGATTGATTTTATTTTATTTTATTTGTCTTGTATGCCACCCACTCCCGAAGGACTCCGGGCGGCTCACAATAGACAAGGGAAAGGGGGAAAACTAGACAAAGACAACACTTTAAAAACAAAACCGCAACATTCACAATTTCCGTGGGGCTGGATATTTCACAGGCCCCCCAGCCAGTTGGAGCAGCCAGGACTTGGTGGCTTTGCGGAAGGCCGGATCTTGACAGGGAGATCATTCCAGAGGGCTGGAGCTGCAACAGAGAAGGCTCTCCCCTGGGGGGTTGCCAGCCGACAATGGCTGGCAGATGGAATCCGGAGGAGACCTAACCTGTGAGATCTAATCGGTCTGAGGGAGGTAATCGGCAGGAGACGGTCTCTCAGGTACCCAGGTCCGATGCCATGTAGGGTTTTATAGGTAGCGACCAGCACCTTGAAGCGGATTCGGAGACTAATGGGTAGCCAGTGCAGCTCGTGGAGGATAGGTGTGACGTGGGTATACCTGGGTGCACCCACAATCGCTTGCGCGGCTGCGTTCTGGACTAACTGGAGTCTTCAAACACTCTTCAAGGGCAGCCCCATGCATAAAAAAGAGGAAAGGCTATTACTTTTTGACACAAAAGCATAACCATCCCGAGGATGCCCCTGAAAATTCATCAGAACTGAAACACGAGGCATTGCTCAGCACCTGCATAAAGTCATTTTACGGACATTAAATTATATTTAGAGACATGTCACAGCATTCCTCAGCCAGATATCTTCCAGGCTTGTTGAATTTCAGCTCTCATAATTTTCCATTTTACAGGATAACCCTCGACTTATGACAATTGAGCCCAAATTTATGTTGCTAAGTGAGACATTTATTAAGTGAGTTTTGCCCCATTTTACGACATTCCTTGTCACAGTCATTAACTGAATCACTGCAAATGTTAAATTAGGTTGTTAAGTGAATCTGGCTTCCCCATTGATTTTGCTTGTCAAAAGGTTTGCAAAAGGGAATCATGTGACCCTGGAATATTGCAACTGTCATAAATATGAACCAATTGCCAAGCATTTGAATTTTGATCACATGACCATGGGGATGCTGCAACAGTCATAAGTGTGAAAAATGTTCATAAGACACATTTTTCAGTGTCGTTGTAACTTTGAATAGTCACTAAAGGAACTGTTTTAAATCAAGGATTACTTGTATTAATTTATTAATAAAACTTAATCCACTTTTTCTTCAAGGCTGATTTTACTTCCTTCTTCGGTTTTTCCCTTCTGACATATTAGTATGGTATCCAAGTGATGAGAGCTAGCCTAGAAATGTTCTTGCAACTATATGGTACAGATCTTCCTGTGTTCATCAAGAGGATTTTATACAATAACAACAAACTCTTAATATGTTTCATATGGATGTGCATAAGCATAAGGAGGGGAAAATATCAGAAGCTTGCAGAACTCCACAGTCTATTCAAATACCAAACCAAAAAAGAAACTAAGCTTACTTCATTTTTAAAAAAAAATTGGGAGAAATAAATGCAAACCAAACCAATGAGAACTAAACATATTGAGAGTCCGCAATATGGGGGAGATGAGGAGGTAGGAAAAACTGGATGGGAGTTGCTGAAGTAACATCAGGAGAACGCTATTAATCTCATGCCCAGAATTTAAGCTTTAGAAACAGCTAGATAAAAACCAGATGTAGACAAGATATGGTATTTCAGAAAACTAGGGGAACTTTCATCGTAATTTCCTGATAGATTCTATTTCTCTACTACTGAAAAACTTTCATAAGACATTTCAGAACAAAGCAGAAGAGGAAGTGCTATGTTTCAGAGTTAGTGTGTGTCACAGATTCTCAGAAAGATAAGACTCACTTCCTGGGGTACTGATGTAAGTGATTCTACCCCCCTCCTTCACACAAACTGATGAGGTGCCATTTTAGCTTCCTGGCTGATACACATCTGTCCTATGAGCTAAATAACATATATTTATTCTCGTGCAAGTTGAGCATTTCACAGACTATCCCCATTTTAAGATATCCAATTACACTATTAAATTGTTATTTCCCTTTTTCCGCACATTTCTCCCAAAAGATATGGAATAGATGTACCATGTATTTTTTCAGTTCCTGTGCAGATCCATGTTTCTTTCTTTGCAAGTGTTCACCACAATTATTTCTGTACCGTACTTATACCCTTCATTTTCTAATGTAAAATTTAAGACAGCCCATACTTAGATTCACGGATTCTTTTGACTTCAAGGTGTCTTTTGCCCCACTCATTCACACCCTAATTCACATAAAACATTTCAGATGAGACGATGGTATTCATCATGCAGTGTGTCACTGGTGTCTCTGCAGTTGGTGCCACTTACATAACTCCACATGGTTACGTTAAGGAGCACCAGAGATTGTGTGTGCCTGCTTGCTGTCCTACATGCTTAGAAGCCACATTTGGACTTTCACACATTAGTTTCACTTTCTTGCAAGCCATCTTACTCGGTACTATTGAAGAACATTTTTCTCTGGGCTGTCCAAATGTGCAAGTACACTAACATAGCTAAAATTCCTTTTTTCGCATTTTGGGTGGTCTCATGTTCTCAATCAGTGGAGCACTGTTTTTCTTGTTCCCATCTTACTCATTCTAAAAAGAATTCACACAACCACCTTTAAACCACTCAACCACGGCATTCATCTGCCCACCACTCACCTCCAGTTTCATGTAACCCTCTACAAAAACTTCCCCACCATGATGCCAAACAGACTGTAGTTGAACCAACTGAAAAGTCTCAGGCTGGGAAAGGCAGATTCGTTTTATTTAGCTAGCATTAAACCACCATGAATCTATATCCTGGCCTCAAAGATCTCACTAACTCTCCAGTCCTTAAACTCAACAGCCCAAGGCCCCTGTTTCAACACTGGCCTGCCTACTAAACTCCTCACACACACATATACATTGCATATCCATCCAAACTCAGACCATGGATATGCATGGCTCATAAGGTGATTCACTCCTTTGTACTCAACAGAGACATGGGAGGGGGGAAATCAGCACTTCCTAGACCAGATCTAGGTTAGGTCTTTCTCATCTAACCTAGATCATAGCAGCTTTCTCCTTCCCTACAACCCTCTCGCTCATTTGAACTTACCTTATCGGCCAAACAGGCTTCGCCTCCCGCTTCTGCCACTACTTGTACTATCACAGTACAGATCGTCTTTTTCTTTTTGTCTTCTGATGAGCTAGTTTCAAACTTCATCCATCCTTGCCTCCCTCCCCCCAGGGAGACCCCGCCTCCGTTGGCTTCTCTCGTTTTCCATTGGTTGTAAAAGCAGGGAGGCGTGGCTGGAACATGAATAATTAATAGACTCCAAAGTTCCGCCCGCAGTTTTGTAATTTCCAGACGGCTTTCTCCGCCCCCGGATTTTTTTTTCCTGCTTAATTGTTAAGGGTTTTCCATTCATTAGGGAAACAACGTTGTTGAATTGGGGGTGGAGGGGGCTGGGGTGGTTTCATGACGTTGATTTCCTGCGCCTTCCACACCTGTGTTTAAAAAAACCTCCAAACAATGTAATACTGTACACGGCCGTCTCCTAATGAGTTGTATGCTTTTAGTAAAGCAATAGAAATAAGATACCAATGGATTCTGTAGAATTTTCCTTCTGGGTGAAACTGATGTAAATATACGCGTCACTGAGAACATTCTGTTGACTACACTTCTCCATGGAAACTGCTAGCTTTGTCAACTTGTTGGTTAGATCACAGCAAACTCTTGTCTCCCCACCCCACCCCCACACACAGTAATTTGGTTAGATTACTTTATGCAGTGTAATCTATATTATAACTTGTGTTGGACCCAGGTAAAGCCATCCAAAAGAACTGGCAAGTTTCACTTTTTCTTTGTTAACTTGACTAGGTTTTGTTTCAGCAGGAATCAAAATTTTGCCAGCAGGTTTGATAATGCAGTACAGGTAGTCCTCGAGTTACGACCACAATTGAGCCGCAAATTTGTGTTGCTAAGCGAGACATTTGTTAACTGAGCTTTGCGCCGTTTTATGACCTTTCTTGCCAGAGTTGTTAAAGTGAATCACTGCTGTTGTTAAGTGAGTTACACGGTTCTTAAGTGAATCTGGCTTCCCCATTGACTTTGCTTGTCACAAGGTCGCAAAAGGGAGTCACATGACTCTGGGACGCTGCAACGGTTATAAATGAGTCAGTTTCCAACTGTGATTTGATCACATGACCATGGGGACCATGCAACAGTCAAGTGTGAAAAACAGTCATGAGTCGCTTTTTCCCCAGTCACTTAACTTTGAATGGTTACTAACTGAGCTGTTGTAAATTGAGGACTGCCTGTTCTTATTTCCAGAGCTGTGAGGCCTGGGGTTGGTGGTGGTGGTGGTTGTTGTTTGGCCTTTAGGTATAAATAGTAATCTGGGGATTAATTGCACTGTTTCTCATGATGGTGTTGGAAGAAATGTCCTTCTGTATTCATTCCAAGTGGGGGGAAAGACACTGGGGACATGGAGGCTGCTTGGAAAGATGGTTTAATGGTGGACAGGATCACATGGCTTCAATCCTGAACAGAAAAGGGGGATCACATGCTTCCAGATGTTGGGTGAAAAAGGGCAGAGATGCTGAAAGTTCCTGGTTTTATGCCCTCTCTGGCCTTTGATCTTGAGCTGGTATTCTGATTGGTTGTCAGACTCCCATGGGGCCATGCAGGGGTAACTCTCTAGGTTGTATATTGAGTCCAGGTTTGGTTGAGCATTGCTTCTTCCCAGGTGCCCTGATGGGTAAAGGCTAATAGTATCATGCCTTAATCCAATCACCCTGGAGTTGAAGGGGGGATCTTTGTTATGTAGAATAGGCTGGTTCAGGGATTTTAATGGCCCATTGACAAAAGTGAGGGCTATTAAGAGTGAGTCTGTTTCCTGCCTAAAAACATATTTCTCCATTTCTGATCCAGAAAAATATAATATTCTGTCTTTTCAATATTTCCCAGGATATTTCATTTTTCCAGGAGAGGTGTTTTTTTTTAACATTGGCTTGGGAATTCTGGGAATTAAAGTCCACAGATTTTAAAAATGGCTGAGGATGAGAAATAACAAATCACCGGCAGTCCCTGACTTACAATAATTTATTTAGTGACTATTCAAAATGAGAACGGCACTGAAAAAATGACTTACAACCATTTCCCACACTTAATGATCATTGCAGCATTCCCACAATTGGTCACACAATCAAAATTTGGAGCTTAATAATAACTGACTCATATATGATGTTTGCAGTGCCCTGGATTCTTGTGATCCCCTTTTGAGACCCTCTGAGAAGCAAAGTCAATGGGGAAGCCAGATTCACTTAACAACCGTGTTACTAACTTAAGAATTGCAGTGATTCACTTAACAACTGGGGGAAGTAAGGTCGTAAAACACTTAACAAGTGTTTCATTCAGCAACCGAAATTTTGGGCTGAGTTATGTTCGTAAGTCGAGGACTACCTGTATATTATCTAGCATTGTCTGTTTTCTCTAAATTACAATCCCTCATTCAGACTTCAAACTTACTTGCTTCTTTCATATTTACTTCTTCCTATAATATCTTACATGAAAGCATAGCTTACATAATACACAAATACTGGCAGGAAACACTACAATCAATATAGAATTCACTTTCTTCCATCTTGTTTCTTCTTGCATATGGAGTTAGGCAATGTACTAAATTCCAAATAAGTAAACCCTATTTTAGTTTAATATGTTGCCTGAATGCAGCCATTTTTCCACCCCACCCCCCAGGACAAATTTCAAATCATAAAAGTTCATCAGGCAGGAAGGAGGATGTTCTGAAAACAGTAAAACCACGTATCACGTGTGAAGGAAATGGTCTGCAAGACATATAGAGGCAAGAATGCTAACTGTCTGGGTTTGTGCAATGCTCTCTTTTAAAATGGGATGGGGGTTTTGTGACAAGTTAATTTTATATATGCAGCTGTGCAACCATGCTATAGTTAAGGTTCTGTGCTGTAGAAATCCGGGAAACTGAATTAATTTAGTAAATATTTACAGCTTCTTTCATGTTCAATTCCTGGCTAATTTAGTGGAATGCTAGATAGTTCTCTTCGCCAAGCCAAAGGCCATCTGCCCTCTTCTTTCAAATTGATTTTCTGACTTTTCAGCCAAGCCTGGGATTTAATTTAATTTAATTTAATTTATTTAAAAAATGAAAACTCAGGGCTGAAAAAGACCCAGTGATCTATCGAGGCTGCCCTTTTATTTTCTTTGTAATGTATTTATTTTTTTCTAATGATTAGATTTGCATTTTATTTATTTATTGGTTTATTATTTTTATTTAATTATTTTTATTTAATTATTTTTACGTGTGCTTATTTTTAATTTTTGTCAGATGATAGACATGTGTTTACGGTCCATAAACACATGTCTATTAAGTATATTTAATACCAAACAGGTTTTATTTATTTATTTGTATTTATTTGTATCCACTTTTCCCCCCACAAATAACTATATAACACACCTTCGTCCTATTTCCCCACAACAACAACCATTTTTTTTCTTCTAGTTTTACATGCAAGAACAAATCTGCATTTCATCTTGAGTACCATTAGGAAAATCAAATATAATTAAATACCAGGCTAACTGACAACTATGACTAAATCATATTTTATGTTGTATAAGTAAACTATGGTGAATTCATATTGTGAAGACACAGTCAGTAATTTATGATTATCTACTAAGCAATAATCCATTTGTGTGTATTCAAAATTATTTAACTTATATCTATAATATATAATATAGATTACAATAATAATTTATAGTATAACTTTGTATCCTCAGAGAAAACGGAGCAGCAGTATGAAAACTAGATCTTATTCTGATTTTCACCTACTATGGCATTAAGGGCAGGATTGTTAAAAATGCAAACAGGCATGGGTTTTTAAGATCACAGACACTGAACTAAAAGAATTATGTGTCTAATTATAATTATAGGTAATCCTTGATTCGTTTTTTTTTAAAGTTTTATTGTTTTCATTAAACAAAAACACAAAAAGAAGAACCATCTTTCGTTACATCTTGCAGAAAGCGTGTCGATTGGTTACAAAAACATTTCGTGCGTTTCTTCCACAATCTTTACATATACTTCATTCAAATTGAATTATACATTTTAAAATTTATGTATTTTACTCTCACTGTACAACAATTCTCATTTGGTTACAATTATTTAAACGTGCTTTTATCTAAAATTATTTGTATTTAAATACACATTTGTATTTAATGTATGCTCTACCGGCATACATTCGCAATCTCAATAAACCTCTAATGACTTTACCCCTTTATAACATATTCTAAAATAAAGTCAGTTAGTAGGATATCTAAGCATTCCCTCCCCTTCTCCCCCCCAACTCACAAATTAAAGCTTATGTCCAATTTGCTTTTACTGATACAACACACATGTATATATCATTAAACATTATCCATTAACATTTCCTTGTTATTATTGTAGTTAACTAAAAATTATTTACTATTTATATCACCTTTCTTCTCATCAGGCCCAAAAGAGATTATACCTTTATGGCAAGCTCTAAACAAGAATTTATTAATAGAATTTGTAGGTCTTTACCCCCAAGTCCCAAATTACAATTTATATCCAAGTTATTTTTACTAATTAAGGTTGTAATTTCATTATTATTATCATAGTTAATTATATGTTAACAAAATGAACATTTAATAAGAATCTAAAACAATCTACAAAATGCTAACATTCCTACTTATTAATCACCAAAAGTATCAATTAACATTTCTTTATTATTATTGTGGTTAACAAAAAAAAAATTATTTATTATTTATATCACATTGCCTCTCTTCAGACCCAAATTATTTATACCTTCATAACAAGATCTAAACAAAAATTTATTAATAAAATTTATAGGTCTTTTTACCAAATCCCAAATAACAATTTATGGCCAGGTTACTTATGCTAATTAAGGTTATCATTTCATTATTATTGTTGTAGTTAATGATGTGTTAATGAATAAACATGCAATGATAGTCTAAAACAGTCTACAAAATACTGAAATCCCTACTTATTAATCACCAAGAATTGGCTAACTTTTTATCGTCAACTTTCATTGTCAACCTATATCTTTCCAGTAGCAAAACAGTCTTATCTCTCTTGCCAGTTGTTGGTAATCCTTGATTTATGACAATTGAGCCCAACATTTC